GCCCCACCAGCTGTGCTCTCACCCTCCTGTGCTGTCCTTCCAGGTACATCGAGAAGTCGGCAGAGGAGCTGGATGAGGAGGTGGAGTACGACATGGACGAAGAAGATTACATCTGGCTGGACATCATGAATGAGAGGCGGAAGACCGAAGGAGTGAGCCCCATTCCCCAGGAGATCTTTGAGTACCTGATGGACCGGCTGGAGAAGGAGTCTGTGCTCTCACCCTCCTGTGCTGTCCTTCCAGGTACATCGAGAAGTCGGCAGAGGAGCTGGATGAGGAGGTGGAGTACGACATGGACGAAGAAGATTACATCTGGCTGGACATCATGAATGAGAGGCGGAAGACCGAAGGAGTGAGCCCCATTCCCCAGGAGATCTTTGAGTACCTGATGGACCGGCTGGAGAAGGAGTCCTACTTCGAGAGCCACAACAAGGGGGATCCAAACGCCTTGGTGGATGAGGATGCCGTCTGTTGCATCTGCAATGACGGGGAATGTCAGAACAGCAACGTCATCCTCTTCTGCGACATGTGCAACCTGGCTGTGCATCAGGAGTGCTACGGGGTGCCCTACATCCCGGAGGGACAGTGGCTCTGCAGACGGTGCCTGCAGTCACCCTCGCGAGCCGTGGACTGCGCCCTCTGCCCGAACAAGGGGGGGGCCTTCAAGCAGACGGACGACGGGCGCTGGGCACACGTGGTCTGTGCCCTCTGGATCCCGGAGGTGTGCTTTGCCAACACCGTCTTCCTGGAGCCCATCGACAGCATTGAGCACATCCCGCCCGCGCGCTGGAAGCTGACCTGTTACATTTGCAAGCAGCGCGGCTCTGGGGCTTGCATCCAGTGTCACAAAGCCAACTGTTACACCGCCTTCCACGTCACCTGTGCCCAGCAGGCCGGGCTGTACATGAAGATGGAGCCTGTCCGAGAGATTCCCTCCTTCAGCGGGCGCAAACCCGCCTACTGCGACATCCACACACCGCCGGGCTCCGTGCGCAGGCTTCCCGCTCTTTCCCACAGCGAGGGGGAAGAGGAGGATGAGGAGGAGGAAGAGGAAGGGAAGGGCTGGAGCTCTGAGAAAGTCAAAAAAGCAAAAGCCAAGTCTAGGATCAAGATGAAGAAGGCGCGGAAGATCCTGGCGGAGAAACGAGCCGCAGCACCTGTGGTTTCTGTGCCCTGCATACCCCCGCACAGGTATGACCTGCTGCCTTCCCTCAGCTGTGGAGAAATTTCTCCCATTCTCTGTGCCTCATGTCCTGCTTTCCACACAGTTGTTATCTTGTTCCTCTCCTTAGCTTTTGGCACAGGTACGTTTCGCTCTGTTCTCGCAGAGGGCTGTCGGTGGTTTCCTCCGGGAGTCCTGCGGAGAGGCAGGGCGATGTGCTGCCCTGCGAAGGTCTCTGGGCCCTCGGTGGGGCAGGAAATAGCTGCTGTTAGTTTAACAGCAGAGAATGAACTTGGCCGGACGCGTCAGGAAGCAGCTGGGGGTTCCCAGCGCTCCTTTCCTGTTGTGCTGACCTCAGGCGCTGGAGTAAGCCGGGGAGGGAGGAGGGGGCTGCTCTCCTTTCCGCCAGGGTTTGTTTCCTCTCGAGGCCATGCCGAGGGAAAGATGGATGGTCCCGCTGGGAAGCGCAGGAGCGATTCAGGCCTGGGAAATGGGCTAACCCCAGGGTACTTTGGGCTCTGGAGCGGAGAGGCCTCGAATCCAGCTCCTGGGGGATCCCTGTGCCCTGCTGAGCACAGCTCACCCATCCCAGCGACCGTTTACCCCTCCCTGGGCTTCCTCAGCCTTTTGTGCCAGCGGTCACAGGCAGCAGCTCTGCCTTGG